TTAAAGAACTCTGAACCACTACGAGGAGGGCACTGTATACGGATATGTTTTCCATCGATAGAACCGACACAGTTAGGCAGATTCCAACGATTGTAGAAATGTTCAGCTATTTCATTCCATTTTTCTACGGTAGGTGCTTTGAGAAACAACGGAGCTAAAGCTTGCCAAATATTTTCGCAGGTTTCCTGGATTACTTTATAAATAGTAGAAGCACCAATCCTATAGTATTTAGATAAGTATTTGGGGCTATCACCAGATGCTAAATAGCTATCGAAACAAGAGGCATGATTATTTATGAGATAACTAAACAAAGATATAAAAATTATATTGAGATTATTTAATAGTATACTTACCTCAAAGTGACAACTAAGCGAAGTTTTGGAGGCAACGGTTCTCTGAAGCTTGTCTTTTGCAGCGAAGGGCCAACTAAAGAAAACAAATAATAACTAAAGAATAACTAAAGAAAACAAATAATCAAATTGTCTAATATTCATTCGTGTATATTCAAAAAACTGTTCTTCATCCGTAAAATATAATTCTGTAAACAGATTGTTATACACTCCTTTCTGATTTCGTCCTTGATTAATTTGTCTTATCCACCATCTTCTTCTATTTCTTTTTTTCAAATACACGTACAAAGACACATTGCGTAAATGAGTTAAAATTGCAACAGCTAGGTAATATTATCCATATTTTTTTATCCAACCGAATATTGAACACCACTACCATACTTCTCGAAGATAACTTCGAAACGACTAAAATGACCGCTTCCATTGATCCAACATAGTGAGAAACTCGTTGATTGACATCGATCGACGAGTCATCTCTCGCTGGAAAGCCTCTAGCTCTATGCTTTTAGAAGTTGGGAGTAGGCCAACTCTCTTCAGGCTTGAGGCTTAAAGCTTAAAGCAGCGCGGGAAATGCTTAGAACGAAATACGTCACAGCGGTTAAGTCATAAGGCTTTAGGGCTTAAATCATCTATTATAGACTGGGACTAACGCATAGTAAATCTAGATGTAAGAAACTTGAACGATAGTTGGAGTCTTATTGTACTCCTACAAAGGTATTTTTCATTTTACAAATGAAGACATTGCTGCAAGAAAGAGGTAAGTCCACATTTTGGCGAAAATAATGTTTTAACACCATTATATGCAACGTTCCAAGCCCGATCGATTGGTGTAAGAACAACGTACGTAAGTGCATTGTTAGTTAAATAAACTGAGATTTTTGGACTTGCCCCGCTAAGCAGATTGGTGCAAGAACGAGGTAAGTCCGCATTTGCCTCGTTCTTGCACCAATCTGCTTAGCGGGGCAAGTCCAAAA